TCGAAAATAAACGGACAACACCATGGCTAAGAAAAATGCAAACAGACAAACAACAGTACACAAAACACCACAAAAAACCAACGACTGAGTAACACGAACCCCACCAAAAACTGGGGGTGATGTCAGGTGCACCGGAAGGATCCTGCTCCACATGTGGCACAGTCCTGTTGCTCATGTTGGTACAAACTCGGTGATATGTCTAATTCGGTAGGTCACATTGGGAGAAATGGGGACGGGATTGTAGTTACGACAATTGGAACATAACCGTTGTTATTTGTGAAACGGATATTCCATGACAGGCAACCAACTCGTGACCGCGTCCTTAAAATATTATGAAAGGACGATTTCAACTTCACCACTTGGAAATCTTTGTTTAGTACCTTCATTATGAGCAGCAACCCTCTATCAAGAAAATCATGATAGGAAATACCAGCCCTAGAATATTGTATCAACTGGAAGATAAAAACTCCGTATGCGAGCGCTGCTGGAATGCTAAAATTGAGAGAATGATGTGGCACACATAAGAGAAGTTATCTCAAGAATAAATACACCATAAGTTTAAAAGTACAGAAGAGCATAGACGGGGAAACTTTCTACTGCGTCTACCAAGCATGAGAAACAAACACCGTTTAAATAATAGGAAAAAAAACCCAAAAGATATGCGATATGTGACACAGTGAGGCCTTCAACATTGAGCAAACTCTCAGCTCACTGCAAGATGAGACGGCCCCTATGCGTGAGCGGAAGTCTATACAAAAATAATTTGGATAGATTCTGTAAGACGTAACACCACCACATCGGGTTTAAAAAAAACACACTGGTAGGTAGTTCATATTTAAAACAAAATATTGTCTACGCATTGGTGAAAATATAAAACTATGCAGAATATGTTTTAGTATTCAAGATATCAGATAAAAGGTGAAAGACTGATGATCTTTGTGGAACATATATTGACTGATAATTTTGAATAATACAAACATAAATTCTAAAATTGAGGGCACATAATGCCTTTTTCTCAGATGTAAAGTACTTGGTTTATTGTATCCCAATTGCCGGTAAGCAGTACGGTCTGGTGTATAAATAACGGTGTATTGATCCCCCCTAACATGTTTAGAAGTGAAAAATTTAACGTTGATAGGAATAAGGGCCACGAAGAGGTGGTGTGCGTCTTATCCAAATTTTAGTACACAAACTTGCCTAAAATTGGTAGAATGATGAGGCATACATAAGAGAATTTATCTCAGGAATAAATACACCATAACATTTAAACTACAGAAGAGCATACCTATCAAGCATGAGGAAACTTTCTACGGCCTCCACACAGCACAAGAGACAAACTCCGTTTAAAAGTTCATGGTGTATAGTCATAAATACAACAATCAAAAAAGACGAACAAATTATTAAATAGATGTAATGTGTGTCAGTAAGACAGTAAACTTAAAAAAAAACAATTATCTTGTCCTGTGTCATGTTATATTTTTACACGCTTCTTTGGTCCATGTTGATGAAATAATTTAAAAAATGTAATGTCCAATCAAACGTCTGAATTGCAACATATACTTTTGTGTCTTTTCTAAAAATAACTGCCATAAAAACATTTCCGAAAGTCAGAAAAACATTTGGTGATAAAATAAGAATGTTTTGTTTTTTTAAAAGCTCTGAAATTTCTGGCATACTCTTATCTATTCTTTTTAGTCTATAATTTGGAAGGACATTTTAATTGATGACATTACTGTTGAAATACTTTCAGATGTCAAATTTATTCCAAAAGATACTGCTATTTTAAATGTACTGGAAAACGCACTAAGCAACAGTAAACATTTTCAATAGACTCAGTTTGAAAAATACATGCATTAAATGTTACCAACCTTTCTGAGTTGAAAGATGTGTATTGTACTTTCAAAGGGGTATATGTTATCGAATTTGAAAACAATTCGTTAATGAGACCAAAGAGCAAGATTAACATTTCACCACAATAGTTGCATTCTTCGTTAATGTAACTAGCATAACACCAATGCGTTAATGTTACTAACATAACACCAGTTTGTTACTTTTACTAACATATCACCAATAATACAGTCGTAGGTTTTGAAGTCAGAACAGCTTTATGAAAGGTTTTACTTGTAATCTAGCAAGTGTTACAATGTTTAACATATTGAGTGTTCTTTCAGATTGAGGGTTTTGTTATGCCTTAAACTTTATACACCTTGCTCTGTATGGTATTTTAGATGTTAAGGCATAATTGTTCTGATTAAATGATCGTTAATGGGTTTGTTTTAGTTTTAGGTTTGTTTGTCGAAAATATATTTTATTAAATAACTGATTTGTTGGTATGTTCTCAACTAAAATTCATAAAAAGTTGTTTCTGATGAATTAATTAATTCATTTACACGCCTTTTTCAATTCTAAATTCAAAAGTTCTGTTATTTTTTATATGTTTATAGACACAGATTTATATGTGTGAGTACCTGTTGGATATGAGTCTTTTTCTGGTAGACAGGGTTTAACAAAAATATTTGATCTTTGCATTTGTATTTTATATTAACATAATTAAGATTATTCTTGAATTTCGCGTGTTGATACATTTAAAAAAAACAATGCATATAGCTTTTAAGGACAATATGCCTTGATCGATCTTTATAACATCGACAACAAACGTATACTCGAGGCCAAAATGTTTCAACTGACGTTGATCAGTTTTACACAATCTCATCAAGGTCTCTTCTGTCTTGCAGTTAAAATATGTCAAGAAAGCACAAACGTACTGTGGTTTTTATCATGAACAAAACATAAATAAATGCGGTAAATATTAACGTATTCCATCATATTGGTAAATATCCTGCTAGATGATAATGATGGGTAAGGAGTCATAAGCCTATGTATAAATGTTTGTTTTTAAATTAATAGGTACATACTAATTTTCCCTATTCTAAGCCTTCCTTTCTTCACATACAAATGAACACGTACATCAAATATCCCTGAAAAAAGATTGAGAAGAGAAGTTAGATAAACATCAATGATGAACTCCTTTTTTTTATGAACAATCTGATTGCTTTTTACTTCATTACATATATATGCAGAATAAGTTTTCATAATATTCAAATCGTATGGAAAAATCATTATGAACAAGAACCGTTTGAAATGTTACTTTTACCTTTTACAAGACCGATGATTATGTCTACTTATACATGTTACAGACGATTTTACATAAAAAAAAAAATAAAACTTATTCTGACGCGGAGTCAAATTGGTAAATAATGATAATTAATAAACTAATTAATAAATAGAATTGAGAATGGAAATGGGTAATGTGTCAAAGAGACAGCAACCCGACCAAGGAGCAGAAAAAAGCCGAAGGTCACCAATGGGTCTTCAACACAGCGAGAAAATCCCGCACCCGGAGGCGATCTTCAACTGGCCCCTAAACAAATATGTGTTCTAGTTCAGTGATAATGGACGTCATTAAGTTTATATTGTAAACAATATCCTTTGATACTCCGCGCACTGTATGGATTTGGAATATAAATTCTAACACGAGACTTGATAATGCAAATATATTTTCCAGATTCATAATGCTATTTTAATTTTCTAACACTGGGTCGTTTCCACAGCTAGTGGACTGTTAGTCTACGAGACTATATCAGCTCAGTAGTCGATATTGCCATTGTTTATAGCATACCTTTCTAAAATTTGCTTTGCTATTTTTATATTATATTAAGAAACAAAGATGAATACAGAGTTGACCATAGATGAATTTGGAATATCTTATTAGGTCTATTTCGGTCATACAGTTGTTCAAGGGATCATTTATTTAAATATCCGTAGCTTTCAATTTTTGGAATTTAAGCGTTCCTGACAAAAGAATTTACACAAAACCTCTAAGAATGCACCAAATCTATCAAGTTTCATTTTCAGTTTACAAAGGAACATATCCGTGGCCACTTGTGACGAATGTATTCCATAAGGGTCAATCAATTATGATGGCGTCTGAAAAACTGTGGAAGGGATGACTGAAACTTTACCACTAGGAATGATTAGTTCAATAGCTTTCCAGTAAGCAGTAACCCTCGACCAATGAAATGACGATAAGAAACGCAATTCCTGGAATATCGTTTCGACTGGGAACTATATATTCAATAAACATAATAGAAAAAACAAAGGATATGGGATACCCATACACTGCTACACAGGAATATAAAACTGTTCATACTTTAAAATTGAAGATAATTGCTTTTGTCGTGAAATTTAGTTGTCAGCCGAACCGAAATGATGATTAATGTCTAGATTGATTGGTTGTTAATTGCTTTACGTCGCATTTACTCAAATTGATATATCGAGGCAAGATAAATGTCTATATGTGGATCTAGAAACAGGGTAGACTTGATTGTCAATGTGGTATATCCTTGTGCTTCAGTGCATTGGGATAAAGGCAGTTAACATAGTCAGCAACATTTGAATTATAGCAAGAAAATGAATTTAAACATCCTGGTAAATGTACAATGCAATATTTTGACTTTTATGAACTTTTCAATACATGATATGGTTTTTTAAGACACTACAAAGTAAAAGTGGCACAGTCGTAGGAATAAAATGAGTTAATGTGGAAATTTTATTTTTTATATGTACAGACGTGCAACTTATATATACGTATATTGATTGTATTTTAAAACTAATCTTTTGTTTGGCCAGATAAATTACTGTGTCTTTAATTACGTTTTGGTATAGCAATGGATAGTTTGTATCTAATAAACATCCCTGTTTGCCATTTCGTGAAAGGTGACATAAATCAACGAAAAATGTTTTACTTACTGCATGCAAAGTATGGTTTTGCAACTATAAACTGTAAACCTGACTAGTAAAATGCAAAATAGTATTCACACATATGTAGGAAAAGATTAGCAAACCGTTCTTGTTCAGTTTCTCGGCACTATCCAAGTGTTTTTGTGTTTTTCACTGTTTTGAAATGCATGGTTTTAAAAGTTGTGACTCATACTACTTACCATCTTTTCCTACAAAACAAGGGTAAACCAAATGAATCTACAAATGCTTAATGCCAAAGACGATTGATACATTTCAAGTTGTCCCATTATCCAACTATAGGTTGGAAATAACACCTGCTTGATATTTTACAAATTACAAAATATATAAATACTTAAATTTCTACGTTCTACAGCTTTCATTATTATTTGTTCTCAACATACTTTATATCATTTGAAAGATGGGTTTGTTAATTTACAGGTGAAATAATGCAATATGCGTTATTTACTGCTTAACCACCAGCACATAATAGATATATACGTATTTGCACATCGCTGACTTTCAAATGTTTGGGTTGGAGCGTTCCCGTTGAAGGTTAGTCCAGAGAAGCGTTTGGAACAAACACAGTCTATACAGTTTTATTTTCATTCAACAACAATGTAGGATCTGATTTGGTACACAACGTTTACTCTGCGTTTCACCATTTTCAATGATTTTTTTTTTTCACTGTTTCGAAGTGAATTGTTGTCATCGAAATTTGAAAATCATACTACTTACCATCTTTTCCTATAAAACAAAGTGAAAATACATGAGTTAACAGAAACAAATTATTCACCCATTTTTATTCAATAACGCCATTAACAAATATGATATGATTATTCCTCAACTTTTCTTTTCGGCAGTCACAAACTGGCTTAATTTGAATACGATCCATGATACCTAACTGATCCTTTAAATAAACGTATCTTGCCGATTATCAATTTAATATAGTAGTAAAATCTTTAAATATTGTTTCAATCGCTACTAACTTTGATTTTTTTTTGAAAGATTACACATACACTACATACTGCTCAGAGTCTGAAAAGACCATATTTTGTGCTCGACCAGTAAAGTCGAGCACAGATTTTACTCGACTAGACTCGACATTATCTCGACAGTACTTAACTGTACTATCTGTACTCAACTTTACTTAATAAACCTGATTCAGTACTTTATAATCTTGGATAGTCTGAAATGGTCTCGACAAAGGCTCGACAAGTCTCGACCTGTCTCGACCAGTCATGACTCAATCTCGACAAGTCTCGACCTGCCTCGACTAGTCTTGACCTTCAATTTAGTCTTGACTGGTCTGAATCAGCCCATCTAATTTAAATTAAATATTGATCTTACAAAATTCCAGGTTATTTGGTAGTTTGGTTCATTGCTGTGAAATTAAAGAATTTAATTGATAGGTAAAAAAAGCAAGAATTTTCAGTTTTGAATAAATTCAGATAGTCATCTTTAATTTTTTCTATAACTTTTTCAAATCAACTTGGATTTTCATAAAACTCTACAGCTATCTCAATGATACATTGATCTTACAGAATGCCAGGTTGTTTGGTAGTTTGATTTATTGCTGTTAAATTTAAGGATTTAATTAATAGGTAAAAAGCTAGTATTTTCAGTCGGACTGAATTTAGATAGTCAACTTTAAATTTGTTTATTACTTTTTCAAATTAGCTTTGATTTTCATAAAACTATACAGCTATCCCAGTTATATATATTGATCTTAATGAATGCCAGGACGTTATGTAGTTTGGTGTATTGCTGTCAAATTTAAGGATTTAACTAATCTAGGTCACAAAACCTAGAATTTGCAGTTCGGACTACATTCAGATAGTCATCTTTTAATTTTTTTTTCAAATCAACTTGGATTTTCATCAAACTATACGGCTATCTCAATTATATATTGATCTTATAGAATGCCAGGTTGTTTGGTACTTTGGTTTATTGCTGTCAAATGTAAAGATTTGATTGATAGGTATTTAAATAAGCTAGAATTTTTAGTTCAGACTGAATTCAGATAGTCACTTTAAAGTATTTCATTACTTTTTCAAATTAACTTGGATTTTCATAAAACTATTCAGCTGTCTCAGTTGTATATTGATCTTACTGAATCCTAGGTTGTTATGCTGTTTGGCATATTGCTGATATTAATTAATCAAGGTTAAAAAAGCTAGAATTTTCAGTTCGGACTAAATTCATCTTCAAATTTTTTTAAACTATTCAAAGCAACTTGGATTTTCATCAAAATCTACACCTATCTCCATTATATATTTATCTTACAAAATACAAGGTTATTTGGTAATTTGGTTTATTGCTGTCAAATTTAAATATTGAAATTATAGGTATCAATCTGAATTTAGTCAAAACTGAAAATTTTAGCTTTTTTATACCTATTAACTCAGTCCTTTCCTTAAATTTGACAGCAATACACCAACATACAAAACAACCTGCCATTCTGTAAAATAAATATATAAAGTGATACCTGAAAAGTTTGATAAAAATCCAAGCTGATTTGAAAAAGTTATAAAAAAATTTAAAAATTAAAGGTGACTATCAGAATTCAGTGCAGACTAAAAATTTAAACTGGTGCTTTTTGTGTTTTAAAGTAAAATTTGCAATGGGCGATTCAATATAACTTACAAAGCGTTCATTATTAGTTTTTCTCACCATACCTTAGAAATCATTTGATAGAACTGTTTAATCACAGGTGTAATCAAATGTACGTTAAAGTTATTCAAAACCTATTGGAAAAACATGTACATAAACGAAATATCATTAAGATAATTTGACATCTAACTTGTTAAATATTGCAATAATTGTTATTTACTGCTTAACCACTACCAGCATGTATTGCATATATACGTATGTATACATCACTGGTTTCAAATGTTTGGGTTAAAGCGTTCATGTTGAAGGTTAATCAGAGAAGCGTTTCGAAAACAGACAATTTATACAGGGATATTTTCATTCAACAACGATGTAGGCACTGATTTGGTAGACCATGTTTGCTCTACGTTTCATGCTTATCATAGAAATGTTTTTTCACTGTGTCGAATTGAATTGTTTTCAATCGAAATTTGAAAAGCATACTACTTACCATCTTTTCCTACAAACCAAGTGAAAACATGTGAGTTTACAAACACCTATTTCAACAAGATACCTTGTCGTGTACTCTACATTTAACAAAACGTAAGAAATAGCAATGCATCAACAATGTAGTAACAGCCTTGGTAGACCGTCATGTTTGCTCTACGTTTCACGCCTATCAATGATTATATTGTTTTAAATCGAAATTTGAAAATCATACTACTTTCCATCTTTTCTTACACAATAAAGTGAAAACACACGAGTTTACAGAATATAAAGAATGATACTGCTGAATTGAAAACTAATCTGTTATAGAAAAAAAGTCCAAATAACAGTCCATAAATATATATATATTACGATACAATGTCAGCTCTGAAATCGATGATAAAATTCAACTCATGCATTTTGGAAGATATATAATACCTATATTTGGAATATAAAAAATGATACTGCTGAATTGAAAACTAATCTGTTATAGAAAAGTCCAAATAACAGTCCATAAATATTGAGAACGCAACTTCGGAATACAACATTTTATAGAATTTTATTCCATTTTGAAATGGTTTTCTCCGCGTTGTACCCGATAAACCGCAGGCAAAATTTAAGATCAAGCTGACCATCTACTCACTTAACGACATATGTATGAACAGGAGAATTATTACTATTAAGAAATCGTGAATAAAGTTTATCCATATTTAAGTTTTAAGTCACTGGATACGCAAGTCTTTCTTGTAGTGTGTGTTAAAGCATTTTTAAATTAGTTGTGTCTTTAAGTGGTATTTCGGGAGAGAAATAAAAAAAAAAACAAGTATCTATGCATATATATCATTGGATTATGTGCATTTTTCGCTTGATTAACATTGGATGTAAAATCGTCTAAGAAAAATAAAGTGGTACAACTAGAATAAATGTCCAGGTATGTTACATTCTATTCTATGTTATCTTACTAATAAGGTGTGCTAAATTATAAGTCATATCGGAAACAAAATGTAGTTCTATATTTCAAACCATTCTATTAGATGAAATGAAATTAAACAATACAACCGTGTTTCATGCATAACCTATCATTTTTCTTTCCCTTGCTCATTTCAACGAACACAAATGTCATTCATTTTTCAGATGAGTCAATACAAGAAAACTGAAAGTATTTTTCCCTGATATGAGAAAAGAAGCAAAACAGTCTTAAAAAAGACCGCTTGATTAAAAACAAATTTTGGATTCCGTTTTGTATGTCTTTAACTTAAGTACTTTTTAATTTCATTTAAACATTTCAAGATTAACGCCGTCATTTGCACTGTCGATATAAATGTTATATTTGCCACTGGACATATAACAACAGTGAATGAATTCGATTATGTTGAAAACTGAATAAAAACCTCGCCCAATATTTTACACAAGCCTTATTCAAATGTTATCCATACCCCCTCAAATTCTATTCATTAGTACGATATTCAAATTACAACAACACATAATCAAATAATATACCGAATACGCCATGTTGAACATTTAAGTTTCTAAGACCACAATTTATTTTATCAAACCACAATATTATTGTAGAAACTATCCGAGTAATTTTTCAAAATCAAAAAACAAAATTTTACATTTCAAGGAAATGAAATCTTTAACGGTAAAATTAAAAGAAATCTTAAAGTGAAATATATCTTTCTCTAATTTTCATCATTAAATATAGTGGGGGATATTATGCAAATAATTGTGCAAATCGTGATACAAGCATGAAATTTGATATAAAGGTTGACTAAATTTTAGGTTAAAAAAGACAGCTGGCCATAAAAAAAAATCATTTTTTCAAGATTGCCACCGCTCATTTTGCAAATGGAGTCATTTCAAATTGGCTACATTTCGTTAATCCTTTGAAAGCTGTGTTATAGGTATAATCCAATGTAAGTTATGATAAAAAGTAACTTACAGTTCCTAAAATACGATGATACAATACGTTAATTAAGATAAAAAGTAACTTCCGGTTCCAAAATGGCGGCAAATATGGCAAAAATGTCATTTTTTATCATTTCCATCAACTTAACAAGAGATATCACTTATTTTTGTCAGTTCAAATGTCTAATTTGGTTAGATCTAATATTTATCTAACTGACAGTTGCATATACATAAGCCCGTATAAAGAAGGCCAGAACGGTAGCATTTACAGTTACCAACACAGATGGATTTTTTGCATCCGCATTTCAAAAGTTCCTGACACGAGGATGTGACAGCAGGCAATAAAGTCCATTTTGGTTTACAACTGTCATTGCTTTTTCTTTCATCCAACTACAGTGTTCAGGACTTGTTACCTGTTGAATGCATATATCCGTTTGAGCCCAAACATGTCCGCCTTGATATGCTGCTCTTTTGGTGAGTTTTAGAAAGGTAACTCTGGTAGGCTGAATGGCATCATAAGGCCGCTACTTCCTGGCAAACAATTCAAATAGTGCCTCGATTGTCAAATGTTGTTGTTCTGTCATACAGAATGCAAACAAATGCTTCTTCGATGTCCATGTCTGTGTCTTCAATAGAGTTTGGTGTCATACTCAAGCTGGAAACCGGCCGTTAAATCTGAAATAACTTCTCATATCTGCCAATCGGACTTCTTCCCTTTCCCACGAAATGCCGACACAATGTCACATCCACTGAATGCATGGAAGAAAGGAAAAGCAGCTACACGAGGACCTACCGAATTTGATATGTCAATGTACAGGAAACCATCAAAAGTATTCATTCCTTCCAAATATAAATATCTGCTTCGTCATGATTACAAGGGAATAGCTTGGAAGTATCCGTATTGAAATTGCTTAGAACATTTTCACCTTGAGTAACATAAACGTTTTTATTAGTCTCTAAAGAAGCAATTATGTCTGCGAGAAACTTGAAAAATTCCGTTTTGTTCCCATCTTTACGGCGAAAACTACTCCAAACCCTTGGTGTTTTCTACCAGAACCAACAACTTTCCGTCTAGCACCAGCATCTCGCTTTCTTCTCGTCACGGCCTTTAAACTATTCTTCAAGTAAACGTCAAATATAATGTCTACTCTTGAATTCTTATCGGTGCAAGATTTTATGTATGGTAGTATGACATCATTTGCATAATCATCAAATGTTTTTTAAATCGCAGAATGAATGAAGTATATCCATTAGCTGCGACTTAATACTCCTGCTTAAATTGCCATCCTGAGACAAAGACGGTGGAGCAGTTTGGATTTCATGGGTAAACAAATCTTCCAAGTCACACTGTCTACTTTGACATGAAATGAAAAGTCTAGAAAAGAGATCGCAGGTTCTTTAGCTTTGTTTTTGACAAAAAACATTTCCGGTTTCGTTTTTCGGCTAAATAATAGGAACTTGTTCTGTTTAATCGGGTAAAAAAAAACCGATTCTTCTTCGTTTTGCAATTGTTTCAAAAGATCTTCGTATTGTTTAAACCAAATATCTTAGAGGTTACATATCTTACCTGCTTCCGAATCAACAATGTCCTTAGAGTCAATTTTGTACAAATCAGATGACTCCTCTAGAAATTGATTTCCAAACACATTCATCACTTTAGAAAGCCTTTGAACCTTTTCGAAGAAATCCTTTTGTGTTTTCGGAAAGTTTTTTTGGTGTCTTTCATCTGTTGTGACTCAAACCACTTGATCTTTCAAATTCATCTACCAGTCTACTGACTTTTGGTTCAGCTACCATTCATCGTCTCAAAGCTGTGGGATCTTCGGTTAAACCCATGGCACCACCATGGCACTTCACAATTGCATTATTCTCTTCATGTGCCTAATCAATTTCGATATTAGAAAACAACTTGCTGGTCTTACGTACAGTGAAATTACCATTTGCAAATTACATTGGCGTCTGAGGGTGATGTTCGTGAAGGGAAGCCATATCTCGGAGATGGATTGGTAACCATCGAGCATAATTTACACGATCAAGACCAAACATTCGGTAGTATGCTTGATATGGACTTTTTGTACAGTACGAAATCTGACTCACGAAATGAGCGTACTACCGACAGATCATGAGTTCTAAATTCAAAATTGAACGCCAGAAATTAAACTGTGGTCGAGATGACTCTCTTTCCTTACATCAGTCTATCAAATTATCAAACGTCACAGAGTCATCAGCTATATTTGCTGCGTTTATGCTTTCATAAGCCGACATTAACAATTCAAACAAAACACATGCAGTTATCTGATGCGCGTGTTTAGACCTAGGTATATTTGAACATAGAAGAAAAAAATCTGCCGTTCCAGGTGTTGCAATATCGGCTTCAGTGAGGGCACTTGTCCATCCGCTATCACGCAAAATAAAACAAGCCATTTCAATGTGTAAACATGACCAAACATGACGATAAACTTATCTTCTCCGTAGAAGTCTGGCCATTTCCCACTGAATTTGCTTTGCCAAAACAAAAAGTGGCTGATCTGCAGTTATAACTGGCGTTTGTTCGGGATTAAGAAAGTTAACCATCTCTTTCACCTTATTTATCGAATGATTGATCATTGCAACTGAATGGGCTTGTTTTGCAAACAGTGGCATCAAAGAAGTTTAACTTACTTGAAAAGAAGGGCCTCGATTTTCAGAGGAATGAAATGACGACCAAGATACATGTATGTTTTCGAAATCCAAACACTCGTCTTTTAGATGAACTACGTATAGCCATTCATATTCACACTGGAGGCTTTCTTCCAAGATAATCCTGATCTGGTAATTTTAGTATGGTATAAGGGGTATTTGGAGGTGTAGATTTAGTCTTTAAGTAGGCAGGTTTGATATTGGCGTTTGTATCTGGAAGAGAAGTTTCTTGCCTTGAACTTGGTCTATTTCTCAGTATTAAGTCCCCACGTTCAACCCCACCATTGTCATCCGACGGGTGCTGAGAAAAAGAAATTACCGTCCCATGAAAGGATGATTTTGCAGTTGTTGAACTATGGTTGTGATCAATATTGTCAACAGCAGCTGTAGTGAAAAGCCCTTTTTTAAAACAGGTGGACATACTAAACCTTCGGACAAAAAGCGTTCAACCACAGCCTCTCCTAGATGAGTTGATATTTCTAATACCCGGTGATATGAAATACATAAACCATACTGAAATAAGGTATCGATCAATTGACGCTTCCTGATCCTTGCAAAAATTAAAAGACAGATATAGACAATGATAGATACAAAAAGGAGTTTCACGATCTACTGCATGCCGCTGTTGTTCCTATATTTTCGGTGTTTTTGCATGATAGGTGTACATTACCAGCTGAGCAATGGCTAGATTAGACTTGCATACACTGTTTTCTATTTGGGATTGAATATAGGCCATGTTCAATCATACACACTAGTTCAAGTGATGGGGGATGCTTGATTGAATTTCGTCGGCAGAAAATGAACCAGAAAATTTTGTCTTGTATTCCCTTATTTGTGCCCCAATAATAACTGTGGTTTTTCCAATATGTATGGTGTCGTCTTAATTAAATGCCAATGTTATTGCTGGACAAACATCTTTTTCAAAAGCCAACAACACCTCTATACCTTAAGTGTATGATTGAAGATCTGGTATCTTTACAAGAAGCATTTCTTTGAGTCGTGTCCTGTGTATTGGATGTGAACCCTCACTCAACTGCTGAACTCTTCTTTCATACACATTTGCAAGATCTGCAAGCCTAAATGTATTGGCCCCATCACTATTTCTTTGAGTCTCTAATATGTATTCATTTCGTGAAACTTAGGAATGTTTGTAGCCAACATTGTTAACCATCGGCATTTGATTTTAACGCTTCAACTGTGTCTTCCTGACAAATCAAAATTAAACCTTTTCTAAATGTCACTATAGAAATATTTGGAAAAATACTGTTAACAAGCAGAGGGGTTACCCTTTTACCACCTGAAACTGCACTTTAATGTATGGGATTCGACTGGGTTCGTTGATGTTGTATTTTCACCCAGCCCGATCGTTCATCCACTGCCATTTAACTCGTGCGATCTGTACACTATCCGGAGGATTAATGCCCATTCCTTCTTGGCTCGACTATCCCGCGTTGGCACATCCTGTCGGTTCAGGTATGACTTTATGGCTTCAACTAAGGGGCAAATTATAAAGTATTTGGGAAACTTTAGAATAAAAGCTAACAATGGACCCCATGCCGTGTAAAACCATCAGTAAACCCTGCATAGTAGTGTGCGCAAATCGGTTTTTATATATTTAAAAATACAAAAACACTAATAGCCAATAGTTTGACAGTTTTTGTGTGAATTTTGTAACATTTTCGCGCATGCGCAAACCCTGAATTTGTCAGCTATTCACTTCTAGTATATAAGGAAGGTAGCAACCAAACTTGATAATGTTTTAATAAAAGGATGTTAAAGAAAAACAGTTTTCAAGAAAAATAAGTATTTTCGACCTGGAAACAGCAGCCATCTTAGAAAAAATGTTTTTTTTTTTTTGGCCAGCAGTTTTTTCTTAAAAAGTATATAATAATGAAGCTTTAGTAACTTTTCAAGAAAGTGCCCATGGAAATATTCAAAGGACAAACCGTCTGGATGAATGAAGATGAACAATAGAAAATAGCTCTCCATTCCTGAAAAATAATGGAGAGTTTGAACAAATGATTTCCGTCACAGGTGTATTTTAATTGATCTTATAGTTGTTACAATCTTTTCCTAAATTGCATATTTTATAAACTTAAATAATTTTATTTCTTACCTGGACTTCCATCACTTCCGGCTGATCCTGTAATTTAAATAACATTGGATTTTCAGAATTTTAATGTAACTAACAGCATTTATCATACTTAATACATTGTTCTAGTTGGATATATAACGATAAATTCAGTTCTGAAGTCGCAGAGAATAGTTATCTCATGCATTTTGGAAGAGATATAGTAACTTTTTGTGAAATATAAAGGATCACATTGTTAAATCTAAATTCAAACTTTGACCCAATTGCTTTCGATTTTTTCCAAAATTTTGAAATTATATTGACTTGAAAAAGTTTACTTCTTACCGGTATCTCCCTTTTGTCCTGTTGGTCCTGTAATTCAAAGCACAGTGGATTTTAAGATGTGAAATGTAATAAAAAGCAATCAATTTGAGTTAATATATAGTTCTGGTTATGCATTAAATACCGAGTATATATTTGCACTGAAGATGTTCGAGTAAAGGTTTCATTCATAGCTTGCAGCAATATTAACACTATAAAGCTAGGACAAATAAGAAGATACGTTTGACCATAGTGTGTTTTCTTTTATAATGATACAAACTTGACTAATTTTATTTCTCACCAGTATCTCCTTTCATTCCTGTAATTGAAAATACAGGTGATTCTATAAAATGTAACATAACCAAATCAGCAATTATTTGAAATTAAAACATCGAATGCATAATAATTCATGTAATGCCACTATGCAGTTGAACATTATAAATTAAATAACTATTTAAGTTCAGCTCTGATGTTGCTTAAAATATCTCTCTCGTACAGGAAATATAGTCACTACTGAATCATAATGTTAATTTAAAATTAATCTTTGCTCCAATAGTGTTTCAATCTATTTAAGGAATGACTGTAATATTTTTTCTGTCTATGAAGAAATAACATCAAAAATGTGGTGCACACTGAATAACCCGCGTAGCGCGTTATTTTAAAGTGTGCACCACATTTTTTATGTTATTTCGAATAGACAGAAAAATATTACAGTCATTTCTTATAATTTAATTCTAAATTCCATTTTAAACCGGAGTAAACCATGAAAAAACGTTGATGACGTCACGGTCACATGACAAAATTATGTCTATGAGCTGATAAACAAAACAACGTCAGCCAATCAGAAGACGCGTTACATCCAAAATTAAATTATTCTTTAATAATAGAAACTTAAGTAATTTGGTTTTTACCTTTATCTCCCTTATCTCCTGTCTCTCCTATTGTTCCTGTAATTGAAAATACAGTTGATTTTGATCTGTGGTATGAAGCAAACAGTAATCGTTGTCAGTTAAAAGAACATTGTTCTGACTATACATTTAATACCAATTACATTTTCACAATTACAATGATTGATTAAAGGATCCACTAACAGCTTAATGAAGTTAATATTGAACAGGGTTTCACATTCAGCTTCAAGCATTGATAACTATATTTGCAAATGATTCACCTTTTTAAATGGAAATATTTCCTTTTATGTGATACACACATAGTATAAAAGCAAGGGACTTAAGACTCATTCATACAAATCATTAATGTATACGGATTGCATCCCGACAAAAAGATTATCTCATTGAGGAAATTGAATTATATTAACGTTAGTTTAAACAGTATAGTCTTGATCAGCTAAAAAGTGATCTGCAACATTTTGTTTACTGATTCACTCTAGCAAAGTATTTAATTATCGTGTTCGAAATATCAAAATGATATAAACTTTGAATATATTAACTTTAGTTTGAACAGTATAGTCCTGATCAGCTAAAAAGTGTTCCGCAACTTTTTTTTTATTAATGCATTCTAGCAAAGTATTTAATCATCTTGTTCTAAATATCAAAATGATATAAACTTTGATATGTTAATTCTTATCAATATTTATCCTATCTCTTTTTATTCCTATTGTAAATTCTTTTGCAGAGATTTAAGGAATACAGATTTTTCCAATACAAATACAAATGAAACTTAAAAGGATGATATATGTCTACATTGATTGAGGTTCATGGAAAACAAAGAATTAAAGTATTGTATATATTGTGATAAGGATTACCAGTTGAATATCACTATGGCATGGTGATATGAACAATGATATTGCCATTTGGTCCGAATACACAGTTATTTCGTAGTGCATTTCTTTTAGACAATAAATGAAAATAAAAAAAAATCCAACCTGCGCTTTCTCAATAATATTTTTGCAGTGTGTTGTACTACTTTTTTGGACAAATTGTATCAAAATTATAGAAAACTTCATCGACTCTAACTCAAAATATAGACAATTTCATGTTAACGGGGTCTTGAAATCTTTTGACAGCTTCCAAAGTGCTAATTTTTAACCTTTTTCAGCAGAACCAAATCAATACTTTACTTTAAAATTCATGACCCAAATTTTTTTACAGACTAATGTCATCCCCCTACGTGCTATTCGAGGCATAAAACATGAAGAAATACATTTGGAAGAGGTATAAAACAAATGGTAAGTAACACACTGTCCACACTAGGGACTATATTTGTGGACAACGAAAATCAACGGACGATAACTGTGTTCCCGGACCATTTAAGTGTGATAAAAAATTTTTAAAATGGATGAAGAATCAGAGGCTTTTTTACTGTATATTTTTTCTTTTTTTTTAATCAAAATCTAATATTGATCGTCGTTATTGAAACCTTGTTTTTTTAGGAAAATGTCTGATAAGAAATTAAGTTGACAAGTAAAATATTTATAAAATACAAAGGATGGAAAAGAGGATATGTTTTACATTGGTGTGCTAAATTGTTCAATAATATCAAATTGACTAATATTATTTCTCACCAGGATCTCCTTTCATTCCTGTAATTGAAAACACAGTCGATTTTGAATTATGTAGGATAACAAAGTCAACATTCATGATAAATTTTAAATAAATTTACCAAAAGGATTCTTTTTCCAGACAAATGAAGATAAACATTCGAATAATTCAGTCCTGACCAGCTAAATAATGCTCTGATTTTCTTTTTGTCTTGATGCCCGTAAGACTAATGGTTAAATCATCAATATAATCTATCTTAAAGCAGTCCGTCTTAATAGATTTTTCATTTATATTAAGCTTCGCTTCTGTTGGTTTTGATATAAAATATAATGAGGTTTGTTGTTATATAAATCCTTTTTAGAAACTTATGTGATAACAAATTAATTCGACAAGTTATTTGGTTAATAAAGCAAGGACAAATAAGAAGGTACGTTTGACAAAAGTGTTCTTTCTTTTATAATGATACACACTTGACTAATTTTATTTCTCACCAGTATCTCCTTTCATTCCTGTAATTGAAAATACAGGCTATTCTATCATATGTAACATAACAAAATCAGCAATTATTTGAAATTTAAACATCGAATGCATGATAACTCATGTAATATTATGATACTAAACCCCTAACGGGAGGGATTGTACTTGATTTTCATATGATGAAGACATAATCTTTCAATCAGTTTAATTGAGGTCTGGAGCTGGCATGTCACTAACTGCTAGTAATCCTTTGTTCATTTATGTATCATTGTCATATTACTTAGTTTCTTTTGTTACCTATTTTGACATCTGACTCGGACTTCTTTTAAACTTAGTTTTACTGTGCGTATTGCTATGTGTTTTTTAATTCTACATTGACTACAAGTTTAGGGGAGGGTTGAGATCTCACAAAACATGTTTAACCCCGCCGAATTTGTGCGCCTGTCCCCAGTCAGGAGCCTCTGGCCTTTGTTAGTCTAGTATATTTTTTAATTGTAGTTCATTTATATGTTTTGGAGTTTAGTGTGCTGTCCATTTTCACTGAACTAGCGCACAGGTTTAGTTAGGGGCCAGCTGGGGACCACCTCCGGGTGCGCGATTTTTTCGTTGCATTGAAGATCTTTTTTTGGCCTTCGGCTGTTGTCTGCTCTTTGATCGGGTTGTTGTCTCTTTGAAAATATTCCCCATTTCCATTCTCAATGTTAATGCTACTCTGCAGTTGAACATTATAAATTGAATAACGATTTAAGTTCAGCTCTGACGTCGCTTAGAATATCTTTCTCATACAGGAAATATAGTCACTACTGAATCATACTGTTAGTTTAAAATTAATCTTTACTCCAACATGTGTTACAATCTTTTCTTTAATAATAGAAACTTGAGTAATTTAGTTTTTACCTGTATTTCCCTTATCTCCCTTCGGTCCTGTTGTTCCTGTAATTGAAAATACAGTTGATTTTAATATGTGGTTGGTAGCTAACAGTAATCTTTATCAGTTAAAAGAACATTGTTCTGGCTTTACATTAAATACCAATTACATTTTCACAATTAAGATGATCGAATAAAGGTTCCACTAACAGCTTAATGAAGTTAATATTTAACAGGGTTTCACATTCAGCTTCAAGAATTGATAACTATATTTGCAAATAATTCACCTTTTTAAATGGAAATTTAACCGTTTATGTGATACACACATAGTATAAAAGCAAGGGACTTAAGACTCATTTATACAAATCATTAATGCAACTTGACCAAAAGAGTATCTCATTGATGAAATTGAATATATTAACGTTAGTTTGAACAGTATAGTCCTGATCAGCTAAAAAGTGTTCTGCAACATTTTTTTCTGATGCACTCTAGCAAAGTATTAAATGGTCTTGTTCTAAATATCAAAATGATAAAAATTTTGATATGTTAATTCTTATCAATATTTATCTTGTTTCTTTTTATTCCTAGTGTAAATTTTTTTGCAGAGATTTAAGGAATACAGATTTTTCCAGTACAAAAACAAATGAAACTTTAAAGGATGATATATGTCTACCAGTTGAATTTCACTATGGCATGGTGATATGAACAATGCTATTGACATTTAAGTGTGATAAAACTTTTTTTAAATGAATAAAGAATCAGAAACTTTTTTACTGTATATTTATTCTTTTTTTTCTTATCAAAATCTAATATTGATCGTCGTTATAGAAACCTTTTTTTAGAAAATGTATGATAAGAAATTATGTTGGCAAGTAAAATGTTTAAAAAAAAAAACAAAGGAAGGATAAGAAGATATGTTTTACATTGGTGTGTTAAGTTGTTAAATAATATCAACTTGACTAATATTATTTCTCACGAGGATCTTATTTCATTGCTGTAATTGAAAACACAGTCGATTTTAAATTATGTAGGATAACAACGTCAACATTTATATATAAATTTAAGATAAATTTACCAAAAAAATCTTTTTCCAAACAAATGAAGATAAACATTCGAACAATTCAGTCCTGACCAGCTTAATAATGCTCTGATTTTCTTTTTATCTTGATGCCCGTAAGACTTATTGTGAAATCATCAATATAAACTATCTTAAAGCAATCCGTCTTAATAGATTTTTCTTTTATATTAAGATTCGCTTCTGTTGGTTTTGATATACAATATAATGAGTTTTGTTGTTATATAAATCCTTTTTTGAAAAAAAAGCGATAACAAATTAATTCGACAAGTTATTTGGTAAATAAAGCAAGGACAAATAAGAAGATATGTTTGACCATAGTGTTCTTTCTTTTATAATGATACAAACTTGACTAATTTCTTTTCTCACCAGTATCTCCTTTCATTCCTGTAATTGAAAATACAGGCGATTCTATCATATGTAACATAACAAAATCAGCAATTATTTGAAATTAAAACATCGAATGCATAATAACTCATGTAATATTATGATACTAAACCCCTAACGGGAGGGATTGTACTTGATTTTCATATGATGAAGACATAATCTTTCAATCAGTTTAATTGAGGTCTGGAGCTGGCACGTCAGTAACTGCTAGTAATCCTTTGTTCATTTATGTATCATTGTCATTTTGCTTAGTTTCTTTTGTTACCTATTTTGACATCGGACTCGGACTTCTTTTAAACTGAGTTTTACTGTGCGTATTGCTATTTGTTTCTTTATTCTACATTGGCTATAGGTATAGGGGGGGGGGTTGAGATCTCACAAAACGTGTTTAACCCCACCGCATTTTTGCGCCTGTCCCAAGTCAGGAGCCTCTGGCCTTTGTTAGTCTAGTATGTTTTTTAATTTTAGTTCATTTATATGTTTTGGAGTTTAGTGTGACGTCCATTTTCACTGAACTAGCACACAATTTTAGTTAGGGGCCAGCTGGGGACCACCTCCGGGTGCGGGATTTTCTCGTTGCATTGAAGACCTAATGTTGGTCTTCGGCTGTTGTCTTCTCTTTGGTCGGGTTGTTGTCTCTTTGACATATTCCCCATTTCCATTCTCAATTTTAATGCTACTCTGCAGTTGAACATTATAAATGAAATAACGATTTAAGTTCAGCTCTGACGTCGCTAAGAATATCTCTCTCATACAGGAAATATAGTCACTACTGAATCATACTGCTAATTTAAAATAATCTTTGCTCCAACATGTGTTAGAATCTTTTCTTTAATAATAGAAACTTGAGTAATTTAATTTTTACCTGTATCTCCCTTATCTCCCTTCGGTCCTGTTGTTCCTGCAATTGAAAATACAGTTGATTTTAATATGTGGTAGGTAGCAAAAAGTAATCTTTATCAGGTAAAAGAACATTGTTCTGGCTATACATTAAATACCAATTACATTTTCACAATTAAGATGATCGATTAAAGGTTCCACTAACAGCTTAATGAAGTTAATATTTAACAGGGTTTCACATTCAGCTTCAAGCATTGATAATTATTTTTGCAAATGATTCACCCTTTTAAATGGAAATTTAACCTTTTATGTGGTACACACATAATATAAAAGCAAGGGACTTAAGACTCCTTTATACAAATCATTAATGTATACGGATTGCAACTTGACAAAATGAGTATCTCATTGAGGAAATTGAATATATTAACGTTAGTTTGAACAGTATAGTCCTGATCAGCTCAAAAGTGATCTGCAACATTTCTTTACTGATGCACTCTAGCAAAGTATTTAATTATCTTGTTCTAAATATCAAAATGATAAAAACTTTGAATATATTAACTTTAGTTTAAACAGTAAAGTCCCGATCAGCTAAAATGTGTTCCGTAACATTTTTTTATTTATGCATTCTAGCAAAGTATTAAATGATCTTGTTCTAAATATCAAAATGATAAAGATTTTGATATGTTAATTCTTATCAATATTTATCTTGTTTCTTTTTATTCCTAGTGTAAATTCTTTTGCAGAGATTTAAGGAATACAGATTTTTCCAGTACAAAAACAAATGAAACTTTAAAGGATTATATATGTCTACCAGTTGAATTTCACTATGGCATGGTGATTTGAACAATGCTATTGACATTTAAGTGTGATAAAACTTTTTTTAAATGAATAAAGAATCAGAAGCTTTTTTACTATATATTTTTTCTTTTTTTTTTCTTATTAAAATCTAATATTGATCGTCGTTATTGAAACCTTTTTTAAGAAAATGTCTGATAAGATATTAAGTTGGCAAGTAAATGTTTAAAACAAAACAAAGGAAGGATAAGAAGATATGTTTTACATTCGTGTGTTAATTTGTTAAATTATGTCAACTTGACTAATATTATTTCTCAGGAGGATCTCATTTCATTGCTGTAATTGAAAACACAGTCGATTTTAAATTATGTAGGATAACAAAGTCAACATTTATATATAAATGTTAGATAAATTTACCCCAAAAATTCTTTTTTCCAAACAAATGAAGATAAACATTCGAACAATTTAGTCCTGACCAGCTAAATAATGCTCTGATTTTCTTTTTGTCTTGATGCCCGTAAGACTTATTGTGAAATCATCAATATAAACTATCTTAAAGCAGTCCATCTTAATAGATTTTTCATTTATATTAAGCTTCGCTTCTGTTGGTTTTGATATAAAATATAATGAGGTTTGTTCTTATATAAATCCTTTTAAGAAAAATGTGTGATAACAAATTAATTCGACAAGTTATTTGGTTAATAAAGCAAGGACAAATAAGAAGATATGTTTGACCATAGTGTTCTTTCTTTTATAATGATACAAACTTGACTAATTTTTTCTCTCACCAGTATCTCCTTTCATTCCTGTAATTGAAAATACTGGCGATTCTATCATATGTAACATGACAAAATCAGCAATTATTTGAAATTAAAACATCGAATGCATTATAACTCATGCAATATTATGATATCAAACCCCTAACAGGAGGGATTGTACTTGATTTTCATATGCTGAAGACATAATCTTTCAATCAGTTTAATTGAGGTCTGGAGCTGGCATGTCAGTAACTGCTAGTAATCCTTTGTTCATTTATGTATCATTGTCATTTTGCTTAGTTTCTTTTGTTACCTATTTTGACATCGGACTCAGACTTCTTTTAAACTGAGTTTTACTGTGCTTATTGCTATGTGTTTCTTTATTCTACATTATCTATAGGTAAAGGAGTTGAGATCTCACAAAACATGTTTAACCCCAACGCATTTTTGCGCCTGTCCCAAGTCAAGAGCCTCTGGCCTTTGTTAGTCTAGTATGTTTTTTAATTTTAGTACATTTATATGTTTTGGAGTTTAGTGTGACGTCCATTTTCACTGAACTAGCACACAATTTTAGTTAGGAGCCAGCTGGGAACCACCTCCGTGTGCGGGATTTTCTCGTTGCATTGAAGACCTATTGTTGGCCTTCGGCGTTGTCTGCTCTTTGGTCGGGTTGTTGTCTCTGACATATTCCCCATTTCCATTCTCAATTTTAATGCTACTCTGCAGTTGAACATTATAAATTGAATAACGATTTAAGTTCAGCTCTGACGTCGCTTAGGATATCTCTCTCATACAGGAAATATAGTCACTACTGAATCATACTGTTAATTTAAAATTAATCTTTGCTCCAACATGTGTTAGAATCTTTTCTTTAATAATAGAAACTTGAGTAATTTAGTTTTTACCTGTATCTCCCTTATCTCCCTTCGGTCCTGTTGTTCCTGTAATTGAAAATACAGTTGATTTTAATATGTAGTAGGTAGCAAACAGTAATCTTTATCAGGTAAAAGAACATTGTTCTGGCTATTCATTAATATCCAATTACATTTTCACAATTAAGATGATCGATTAAAGGTTCCACTAACAGCTTCATGAAGTTAATATTGAACAGGGTTTCACATTCAGCTTCAAGCATTGATAACTATATTTGCAAATGATTCACCTTTTTAAATGGAAATTTAACCGTTTATGTGATACACACATAGTATAAAAGCACCGGACTTAAGACTCATTTATACAAATCATTAATATATACGGATTGCAACTTGACAAAAAGAGTATCTCATTGATGAAATTGAATATATTAACGTTAGTTTGAACAGTATAGTCCTGATCAGCTAAAAAGTGTTCTGCAACATTTTTTTCTGATGCACTCTAGCAAAGTATTTAATTATCATGTTCTAAATATCAAAATGATAAAAACTTTCAATATATTAACTTTAGTTTGAACAGTATAGTCCCGATCAGCTAAAATGTGTTCCGTAACATTTTTTTATTTATGCATTCTAGCAAAGTATTAAATGATCTTGTTCTAAATATCAAAATGATAAAGATTTTGATATGTTAATTCTTATCAATATTTATCTTGTTTCTTTTTATTCCTAGTGTAAATTCTTTTGCAGAGATTTAAGGAATACAGATTTTTCCAGTACAAAAACAAATAAAACTTTAAAGGATTATATATGTCTACCAGTTGAATTTCACTATGGCATGGTGATATGAACAATGCTATTGACAATTAAGTGTGATAAAACGTTTTTTAAATGAATAAAGAATCAGAAGCTTTTTTACTATATATTTTTTCTTTTTTTTTCTTATCAAAATCTAATATTGATCGTCGTTATTGAAACCTTTTTTTAGAAAATATCTGATAAGAAATTAAGTTGGCAAGTAAAATGTTTAAAAAAACAAAGGAAGGGTAAGAAGATATGTTTTACATTAATGTGTTAAGTGGTTAAATAATATCAACTTGACTAATATTATTTCTCACAAGGATCTCATTTCATTGCTGTAATTGAAAACACAGTCGATTTTAAATTATGTAGGATAACAAAGTCAACATTTATATATAAATTTTAAATAAATTTACCAAAAAAATTCTTTTTCCAATCAAATGAAGATAAACATTCGAACAATTCAGTCCTGACCAGCTAAATAATGCTCTGATTTTCTTTTTATCTTGATGCCCGTAAGACTTATTGTGAAATCATCAATATAGACTATCTTAAAGCAGTCCTTCTTAATAGATTTTTCATCTATATTAAGCTTCGCTTCTGTTGGTTTTGATATAAAATATAATGAGGTTTGTTGTTATATAAATCCTTTTTAGAAAAATGTGTGATAACAAATTAATTCGAAAAGTTATTTGGTTAATAAAGCAAGAACAAATAAGAAGATATGTTTGTCCATTGTGTTCTTTCTTTTATAATGATACAAACTTGACTAATCTTATTTCTCACCAGTATCTCCTTTTATACCTGTAATTGAAAATATAGGCGATTCTATCATATGTAACATAACAAAATCAGCAATTATTTGAAATTAAAACATCGAATGCATTATAACTCATGTAATATTATGATACTAAACCACTAACGGGAGGGATTGTACTTGATTTTCATATGATGAAGACATAATCCTTCAATCAGTTTAATTGAGGTCTGGAGCTGGCATGTCAGTAACTGCTAGTAATCCTTTGTTCATTTATGTATCATTGTCATTTTGCTTAGTTTCTTTTGTTACCTATTTTGACATAGGACTCAGACTCCTTTTAAACTGAGTTTTACTGTGCGTATTGCTATGTGTTTCTTTATTCTACATTGGCTATAGGTATTGTGGGGGGTTGGGGGGGGATGAGATCTCACGAAACATGTTTAACCCCGCCGCATTTTTGCGCCTGTCCAAAGTCAGGAGCCTCTGGCCTTTGTTAGTCTAGTAAGTTTTTTAATTTAAGTTCATTTATATGTTTTGGAGTTTAGTGTGACGTCCATTTTCACTGAACTAGCACACAATTTTAGCTAGGGGCAGCTGGGGACCACCTCCGGGTGCGGGATTTTCTCGTTGCATTGAAGACCTATTGGTGGCCTTCGGCTGTTGTCTGCTCTTTGGTCGGGTTGTTGTCTCTTTGACATATTCCCCATTTCCATTCTCAATTTTAATGCTACTCTGCAGTTGAACATTATAAAGTAAATAACAGTTTAAGTTCAGCTCTGACGTCGCTTAGAATATCTCTCTCATACAGGAAATATTGTCACTACTGAATCATATTGTTAATTTAAAATTAATCTTTGCTCCAACATGTGTTAGGATCTTTTCTTTAATAATAGAAACTTGAGTAATTTAATTTTTACCTGTATCTCCCTTATCTCCCTTCGGTCCTGTTGTTCCCGTAATTGAAAATACAGTTGATTTTAATATGTGGAAGGTAGCAAACAGTAATCGTTATCAGTTAAAAGAACATTGTTCTGGCTATACATTAAATACCAATTACATTTTCACAATTAAGATGATCGATTAAAGGTTCCACTAACAGCTTAATGAAGTTAATATTGAACAGGGTTTCACATTCAGCTTCAAGCATTGATAACTATATTTGCAAATGATTCACCTTTTTAAATGGAAATTTAACCGTTTATGTGATGCACACATAGTATAAAAGCAACGGACTTAAGACTCATTTATACAAATCATTAATGTATACGGATTGCAACTTGACAAAAAGAGTATCTCATTGAGGAAATTGAATATATTAACGTTAGTTTGAACAGTCTAGTCCTGATGAGCTAAAAAGTGTTCTGCAACATTTTTTTACTGCTGCACTCTAGCAAAGTATTTAATTATCTTGTTCTAAAATCAAAATGATAAAAACTTTCAATATAATAACTTTAGTTTAAACAGTATAGTCCCGATCAGCTAAAATGCGTTCCGTAACATTTTTTTATTTATGCATTCTAGCAAAGTATTTAATGATCTTGTTCTAAATATCAAAATGATAAAAATTTTGATATGTTAATTCTTATCAATATTTATCTTGTTTCTTTTTATTCCTAGTGTAAATTCTTTTGCAGAGATTTAAGGAATACAGATTTTTCCAGTACAAAAACAAATGAAACTTAAAAAGATGATATACGTCTACCAGTTAAATTTCACTATGGCATGGAGATATGAACAATGCTATTGACATTGAAGTGTGATAAAAAAAAAAAAAAATTAATGAATGAAGAATCAGAAGCTTTTTTACTGTATATTTTTTCTTTTTTTTTTTTTTTTGAAATCAAAATCTAATATTGATCGTAGTTATAGAAACCTTTTCTTAGAAAATGTTTAAAAAAAACAAAGGAAGGATAAGAAGATATGTTGTACATTGGTGTGTTAAGTTGTTAAATAATATCAACTTGACTAATATTATTTCTCACCAGGATCTCCTTTCATTCCTGTAATTGAAAACACAGTCGATCTTGAATTATATAGGATAACAAATTCAACATTTATATATAAATTTTAGATAAATTTACCAAAAAGATTCTTTTTCCAAACAAATGAAGATAAACATTTGAACAATCTAGTCCTGACCAGCTAAATAATACTCTGATTTTCTTTTTATCTTGATGCCCGTAAGACTAATGGTGAAATCATTAATATAAACTGTCTTGAAGCAGTCCGTCTTTAAAGATTTTTCATTTATATTAAGTTTCGCTTCTGTTGGTTTTGATATAAAATAAAATGAGGTTTGTTGTTATATAAATCCTTTTTAGAAAAATATGTGATAACAAATTAATTCGATAAGTTATTTGGTTAATAAAGCAAGGACAAATAAGAAGATATGTTTGACCATAGTGTTTTTTCTTTTATAATGATACAAACTTGACTAATTTTATTTCTCACCAGTATCTCCTTTTATTTATGTGATTGAAAATACAGGCGATTCTATCATATGTAACATAACAAAAGTAGCAATTATTTGAAATTAAAACATCGAATGCATAATAAATCATGTATTGCTACTCTTCAGTTGAACATTATAAATTAAATAACGATTTAAGTTCAGCTCTGACGTCGCTTAGAATATCTCTCTCATACACATGATACAGGAAATATAGTCACTACTGAATCATACTGTTAATTTAAAATTAGTCTTTGCTCCAATAAGTGTTACAATCTTTTCTTTAATTGTAGTATAAAAGAAACTTGAATAATTTAGTTTTTACCTGTGTCTCCTTTATCTCCCTTCGGTCCTGTTGTTCCTGTAATTTAAAATACAGTTGATTTTTATATGTTGAATGTAGCAAACAGTAATCGTTGTCGGTTAAAAGAGCATTGTTCTGGCTATACATTAAATACCAATTACATTTTAACAATTAAGATGATCGATTAAAGGTTCCACTAACAGCTAAATGAAGTTAATATTGAACAGTTCAGCCCTGACCAATAGTACTATATTTGTTGTTAATTGAATCGTTTTCAGGAAATTGTCTGCTAAGAAGTTGAGTTTACAGATAACTTGATTTAAAAAAATCAAGGATAACCAGGAAGATATATATATATCATAGTATCCTATAGTGTCTCACCTCCTTTGTATATATGTATAATGCGCGTAATATTACTGTGCAATACAACATCATTCATTAAATACCAATTCAATTTTATCACTGAAGATATTGAGTATAGGGTTTCACATTCAGCTTCAAGCATTGATAACTATATTTGCAAATGATGCACCTTTTTAAATCGAAAAGTACCCTTTTTATGTGATACACACATAGTATAAAAGTAAGGGACTTAAGACATCATTGATGTATACGGATTGCAACTAGACAAAAAGATTATCTGCCTTAGGAAATTGAATATATAAACTTAAGTTTGAACAGTATAGTCTTAATCAGCTAAAAACTGTTTCGTAACATTTTTTTATTGATGCACACTAGCAAAGTACTTAATCATCTTGTTCTAAATATCAAAATGATACAAAATGATAAAAATAAAAAAAATGTTGAGGAACAATGTTTGGCTGATCAGGACTATACTATATTAACTAAAGTTAATATAGTATAGTCCTGATCAGCTAAAAAGTGTTCCTCAACATTTTTTTTATTGATGCATTCTAGCAAAGTATTAAATCATCTTGTTCTAAATATCAAAATGATATAAATTTTGATATGTTAATTCTTATCAATATTTATCTTGTCTCCTTTTATTCCTATTGTTTATTCTTTTGCAGAGATTTAAGGAATACAGATTTGTCAAGTACAAAACCAAATGAAACTTAAAAGGATGATATATATCTACAATGATTGAGGTTCATGGAAAACAAAGAATTTAAAGTACTGTATTGATTGTAATAAAGATTACCAGTTGAATATCACTATGACATGGTGATAAGAGCAATGCTATTGACATTTAAGTGTGATGAAAATGAAAATGAAGAATCAGAAGATTTAATGAAACTTTTGATATCAACATTATGTATTTCGTAATTGATGCTGATAATGAACTGAAGAAGTTAAGGTTTTCACTTTATCAAATAAACCAATATTTATACCTCTCTTAGAAAATCTCTTAATAAGGTTTTTATAACAATATAAAAACAAGTTCTTATTTACCTAGTTAAATATTATTTTGGTTAGTTTTAAATCAGGACCAATTAATTTGCTTTCAAATAATTTGATTAAATGTCTTTAATATACTATGGATTAATGATGCATATAAAACAGATAAACATGTTTAACCCCGCCGCATTTTTACGCCTGTCCCAAGTCAGGAGCCTCTGGCCTTTGTTAGTCTAAGTCTTGTATGTTTTTAATTTTAGTTCATTTATATGTTTTGGAGTTTAGTATGACGTGCATTTTCACTGAACTAGTACACATTTTTATTTAGGGGACAGCTGAGGACCACCTCCGGGTGCGGGATTTTCTCGCTGCGTTGAAGTCCCATTGGTGGCCTTCGGCTGTTATCTGCTCTTTGGCAGGGTTGTTGTCCCTTTGACATATTCCCCATTTCCATTCTCAAATTTAACATGATACAATTCTACATCAAAGCAGATATGGTTTCTAAAAAGATCCTTTACACATTTGACCGCTTTCTGATCCATTTTAATTTCAATGTATTTTATACTTCAATACAGAAGGTCCAGTTATATGGTTTCTTTTCTAATCCGGAAAATCTGTTGTTTTATAAAGACTTTTTTTGCAGTTCGTCATCTAAAAGCCGTAAAGACCATATGACTATTGTAAATAAGTAAGTTAATTTTATTCAAAATTAAAAATAAACTTGAGCTTATGAAAGCGTTACAATCAAGTATCTGGAGTTTGAAATATAAGTTCAAGACTAACCCCCCTTTTTATTCGTATTCAGAGTGTTTTATTTCAGAATTCATTGAGACATTCAAGTATAGAAATGATAAAATACCATATTTTAATATATTTTATTTTTCATTTCAAGTCAGAAGTTATTAAAATACCGTTTATTTCATTACTGTCACTTTGATACCGTTAACTGTAATAATTTGGATCTTGATGGTTTGATGTCGCCGCGGAAGGACTTGTTCATAATGCATTAATAAACTTGGCATTGACGCATCCCGTTAATGCTTATTGATTACTTTAAAATTTGGCATATTTCTTCTTTGGGAGCTTATAAATATCTAGATTTTTGTTTCTTGTTTAAAAGACGTTCATACTTTTTAAATTGACAATGAAGCTGACTGTTGGTATAGGCACGACAGGATTGTATGTCAGCTATATTATTTTATAAGAGAAAAGGACAAATCTTAAAAAAGAAACAGCTATTACATAAAATGTTATATATTTATCTATCAAAAACAACTTTATTTTCATTCATTGATTTACTTTTATTTTTAGGTCTGCCGCGCTGTTAAAGATAATACACCGAAAATGCAAATTATTTTTACGATTTTTTTATAAGTAAATAGCAAAATTAACGTAGAACAGCATTAACCTACCTGCGTCGCACGTTGCTTCACATGGCAGACAGAGTTCAGGATCAGAGGTTATCGTTTCAATTGTACCTTAAAAAGATGACATAGGATAACAATATCTTACAAAATAGCGTATACTCTTGAATAAATAACATTAAAGTGAACTTGGTTGTACAATATAATTTCAGTGAAAGAATGAAAAAGACATGCCAATCGCTTGCACAAGCCAAATTAATATCTTTTTTTTTTCGCTTGCACAAGCCAACTTAATATTTTGTTTTTTTGGCAATTCTATATCATCAAAATACAACTTAAGATTTCTTTTAAAATATGATAATCTGTCATATTTCTTGTAATTTATAATTTTTCTTCATTAGAGTCGATTAAGGATGTTCAAACTTCACTTGTTTTTGAATTTTTGTTAGAAATTCGGAATCCTCATGTTCTATTCATGAAGTGCCATTAAAAATGTTGGCCGCTAACCCCTACTTTTACGTTTCATAATTTTATTACATATATGTTAAAAAGCTATATTTGAAAATCTAACAAAGTCCTTGATATTGTTTCAAAGATTTTTAAAGAAAAAAGGTGCCAATGTATATGAAAAATCTAGAGAGAATCATTCCCACCCACTTTTTCAATATCTTGAAAACAAGGACAAGGATCCTTCATTTTTTTCTGCTTGTTTAGTTCCGTTATTTGTGTACGATCAATTTAGAACAGCCTTTTAAAAAGCTTGTTAAGTTGAAACATAGGAGCCAACATCCGCAAAAGCTTGATTGTGTGTATGAATACTTCAAAATTGTCTTTTTATCGTTGAGATGCCGTGTCATTGGTGCATACCCCACATCTCATTGTAATCTTATTTGTAAGAAACTAGTTAAACTCATCATAGATACCAGGGTTAAAATTGTGTACGCCAGACGCGCGTTATATGACTCATAATACTTTCTGGTAAAATATTTATCATATTATGCTAAGATAAAGTAGAGATTTTGTGAAATGGTAAAAAATAATCAAAAACTTTAAACAGTAGAAAAAGAATTACAACTATAACTTTTATATTGAACTCTTACTGAAGCCATGGTATATACAATTTTATTAAAATTGACAGTAGTATTGTTTTAATTATGAAAAAGAAATTTCATTGATAAAAATGTGTTTACATTTTCTTGAGTGATTATATAAGATTTCTTAAAACCTTCATGTATTATATATCAGAACATAAGTTTACTGACTGAATTTGTTTGATTAACAGTAATAATTCTTAGCTTTTTTCTATTTTTGAACCTGTCGTATATAAAGAACAAACATATGAAGTCCATTCTACTTATTTCAATGATAGAACAACGTTTGGATATCAAGAACTATGTAATATTTGTACTTAACAGCACATATGCTAATTTAAAGGAGTGGATATTTTATGAACTCCCGTCCAGCATTAAGAGGAACTTCACAGAATCAATAATTAACTGAGATGGAGGAAAAAATGGCCAAACTTCTTATGACAGTATACAAATGAAGATGTTCACAATAGCATAACAAAAAAATCCGTATTCCAAACAGACTAAAAAAACTTTAGGGGTCAAAGAACATCAAAGCACCCAGCTACAAATATTTAAAATTGTTCTCATCTCATAGATGCAGTTGTCGGCGATAGTATACACATGTGTCTTCCAAAAATCTATAGAAGTTATCTTTAGTTGTCCTTAGTAGGAATAGTATTACGAATCTTAATATTGATGTTAAGAAGCTTACCAGGAACATATCGTTATATATCACTATGTCTGTGACTATTTTCAATGTCTACAAACTGTGACACACAAAGAGTTTGAAGTTGAGTACCAATTGTTAACTTTTATATATAAATCCATACCAGATTTTCTTAGTTCCCGGAAATCGCTGTCAGGTATCGTCTGTGTAAACTGGCAGTAATCGCATGCCGGGGTAGTACTGACATCTGGCCTTGGGATCGGTGTGTAAATTCTTTCAGAATTTGCGTTTTGATTTGTATCTAAAATCAAAATTATGAATAAAATTTAATGGTAATTAGGTGGATTAGTTGTCATGTTTCTTACCCACACATAATGATATGTAGTTTAACTATTATAACTAAAATTATTACGGTTTATTGAATATCTACTATATCATTCTACTAGATACTTGATGATAGGTCAATAAAACTCGTGGACTCTATTAAACCCTGGCCTCAGATCTTCTATCAAAGTGACTTTTCCGAGATCGGCGTGAATCAAGTCTAGCTACAAAATCATGCAAGCTAATGGTAGCCATAAGGTAATAAGATTGATTAAAACGTATGGTACTGATTTCCAAGTTCATGACACTTCTAATTCAATTTCTACAGAGACAAAATTAAAAACAATTATTAGCAGCCAAAACTGTTACGGTCAACTTTGGCGAAGAGAAAATTACTAAACTATTGTAAAAAAAGAAAAACGACGAAAGAAAAACAACAGTCTACTACACTTCATATAAAACCAAAGACTTTGCAACACAAACCTTATAATTAACCGTGGTTTATCTCAGATGCTGCAGATGTGTATTCAGTACCTACTCCATATGTTGCACCCGTCGTTTTGTTATAAGTCTGACTTGGCTATGTTACAATCGAGGAAAAGAGAAAAGATGTTGGAGACATACATTTGAATATATCAATGGTCATTTGTGACACAGATATGTCCTTACGATTAATCAGATCAGATGGCGTCTGTAAATTTTCAATTGGATGACTTCGACTTAACTACTAAAAACCCATTGTTCAAAAGCTTCTTTGTTTCATAGATGATGCAGAATATGTTCCTAAAGAGAGGCGAAAGATACCAACAGGAAATTCAAATCCATACGTCGAAAAATAAACTAACAAGGCCATGGCTAAAACGAAAACGATCAAACAGACAAACAGACCAACAGACCAACAGACAAACAACAATACAAAAGCGCAACATAGAAAACTAAAAAATGAACAACGCAAACCCTACCAAAACCTTTGAGTGAACTCAGGTGCAATCGAAGGGTGAGCAGATTCTGCTCCACATGCGACCCCTGTTGTGTCACTCCTATATTTACAAAGGCAACACGGGGGTTGCCACATGTGGAGCAGTATCGGCTTACGATTTTAGGTGGGGTTCGTGTTGCCCAGTGTTTAGTGTAGTGTTTTGTATACTGTTGCTTGCCTTTCAGTCTTTTGCTTTCTTTTTGCCATGGCAATGTCAGTTTTTTTCGACTTATGAGTTATAATGTCTGTTTGGTACCTTTCTCCTCTCTTGTAAGCAACAAGCTCTGGAATATTCTATCAACTTAGAGAATATATTCTACAAACATGTTTTATTCAGATCATTATGTACAAGCGGCTTGCTTCTGGGCAGACCAAAAATTGTGTCATCTTGAACTTAGAGCATCAATACGGTGGATTTTTTTGCTGATAACGTATTGCTAACGTGTTGTGATTTTCCACACGGATTGGGATTCTCTTTGTAGCTTCATATTATATATATACATATTTTGTAAAACGCCGGATTCTTACAGTAGCCTATTACGATAAAATAAAAAGAAACTTGTATTATTCTTTGCCATTGACAATGTATTTTAACATAAAAATACGTCGTTTGATGACTATGTTAATCAAATGCCTCACATTGCACTTGGAATATAAAATACCATATAAACATTTAGAACTGTTTGATATCGTGACTCACACATAGAAATTGATACTCGCACGATAACTAACAATTTAGACAATACGACTCCAATTGTAAAAGTATCCATTATGGATCTGCAATCAAGCGCAAGGCTTATAGTGCTGAAAACGAAGCTAATGTATTGATATGGTGATTTTGATATCTTTGGACTGCTAGATCTGACTACTTTTTTTCTGCCCCTAATTTACCGAAGGTTGCGTTTAATAAATTTCTGAACTTGCTGCAAAGAACGCAATTAAAGTAAGTATTGAAGAAGAGTTGCTTAACCTTAGAGCCAAAGAGATAAAGCAAAGGGACCAGTATACTTAACCTACTTGATATGAGTTCATAGGGTTCTGATTGGAATAATTGCGCAACATTCTAGTTTTTAAAGTTCCTTTTTTTACTTGTATTATTTATAATGATGCTGAGCATTCAACTTGTCTAACTTATTAGACTTAAGGTTTTTGAAAATCTCCTTCGTTAAGTTTTACTGTTTTCAATAATTCCAAGCTGATGTATTCGTCGACTGATATCAACATCTGTTCACAAGTCACCGTTTTGCCAAGATTTCAATTTTTTTTATTTTTAAAAAATCTTTATTTTCCAAGTTTATTTCTTTCTTAAATATGTTTTAAGGAATGAAGGAAACATTTTTAGGTATTTGCGTACGTATAATGACATTAAATGTCTGGTTTTGTCTCAATGTGTTCAAATATTAAAACATACGATACACAATATTGAATTAACTAAACAGAACATAATACGCGGTTAGTCATAGTTATTAGATGCTCATTTTAGCATTGTATAATTACCTAACTGTATTTGTTATTTTGTCTCCGTTGTATTTATTATCTTGTTTGGATTTTGAGTATAGTATAGACACTTAAACACTGAATGTTGACATTAAGAATGTGACTGTGTTGCTTGGTTATTGGTGTATTTTCGTTTTCAAATGTATTAAGTAGTCTTACCTGACAGGAGATAGTAATATAGCTCATCATCAGATAACCTTGTGATCTTCATACACATATAGTAGTACTGTGTGGTAAACGTATTAGCATCAAAATATTGTCCTCTAGAAATATAAACTATTAAATATAATTGCTAATATAAATCAGTATAAGTTTTATTACAAATATCCTTATCTTTCCTGTAATAGTCTGAATAATTCTTGTTGATTGAATAGCAACATGTAGGCGAACATCAATAACATTAAACAACTTAACACGCGGGTATGAAGTTCGGACAATAAGCCTGCCCTTTGCCCTTTGATACTTGAAAAGAAACAAAATCATATAAACTTCGCCAAGCCAAACATAAGCCAAACATTGCATACTTATATTTACGTCATTTGGTCTCTGCCGGATAGTTGTTTCATTGGCAATCATATCACATCTTCCTATATGTATATAGCAGTTTATAAAAATTATTTCACATATGTCAATTCAAGAATAACAATAAAAAAAACTATGAAGCAAAATCTCCTTTTTCAAGTATGTTTAAAGAATTGCATTGCGACATAATTGATAAATATGCATACTCAAAAACAAAGACGTTTCCGGTGCTGTGAATACATGTGTGATCCTCAAAAATTTCACCCAGTAGCTTCCCATCCTCGTAGCTCTGGAGAGGTTGTCTGGAATGTTATGCTTGCACCTTTGGCCACATCAGTCCATTCACCAATTAAATATGATGGAAATGTACATGCACTTTCTAAAAATATCAGACGCAGAATTAAGTTTGATTTATTGTAACAAAAATAAATGACAATAAATGGTATGCATATTTTTAATAAAGCTTTGTTTTTATTCTGGCACGAAAAAAATTCTGCATGCTGGAAAATTTATTAAATTGATACCTCAACTGTTGTTAATCTACCAAAAAAGAATAACCACAACAACAACGAAAAATAAGTTTTTCAACCGTCTTTGATTTTACCTGTAATCTATTGCCAATATTGTAATTCTCATCAAGACATTCTCAATATTTTCTCAGTAATTGACTTAATACACAAAACGAGGGAAATATGCTTAGCGTTGAATTTGATTTCTGCTTGACAATGAAAATACCACTAGAAAACGAAAGAATGCTTGAAAAGGGACAGGAATTTAGCCTTGCAACAGGTCACTTACGAATCATTAAGAGAGTCATTACAAAAATTCTTGAACGTGCAGAGCGTAATACTCGCTATGCGGTAAGCATCTGATTCAATGTCCCCTTTCCGACCATAGGTAGCTACTTAATTATTATACATCCTGAACAGCCAATCGGACACCCTATTTAGCAAAGGTTTCACCGTCGTACAGAAGAAGGTTAAGGATGACCAGATTATATACCCCAGTCAACCTTTAGTGCTTAACGCACATAAAAAAATCACAGTTAAAGAAGATGGTTTAATGTAAACATATATCAATTTAGAGCGTTTGATTCTTGTATTAAAATAACTTTTTTTTATCAAGTTTATTTTACCCGAATGTTGGAGAAGACAAATACTTAAAAAAAAACATTTGAAGGTATAACAACCAAAGTTATGTTGCAAGACTGTCAAAAGAGTCTACTGTTTATTAACTGAGATAACATATCATTGTAATGAACGATGGAAACGAATTTATATTATTTCACAACCCTCAGATTACCAATGACAGATTATATAGATGAACAACAATAAACAATGTTGTACTGTAGCAATCTCTATGAACATACACTTTATGCACAAAGAGCGACAACAACCATGAATGAAATGGTTTTGTTCATAAAAGGAAAAGGAAATCAATGAACACTGACATAATTTACAGTGGCACATATGCCAATAATTATTTGTTTATAAGTGTAATCCCATGCAATTCTACCGATAGATGACTTGTAACAAATTATATCATTCAGTAACGACATATTGTGTTAACCATATCAGACTGCATTTGACTGCATTAAAATCCGAAGATGTTGTAAGCATCTGTTCATTTCATTTTATGAAATGGTATATTGTAAATTTATTTTAATTCAATATACAATGTTACAAAAGATAATAGATAAAGCACGAACTAAGAAAATTTCATTGATAAATATAAATTGACAAATATCAAATTCAATTTAAGAACCACCTTAACTAAAACGATACTTGTTTTCACACTTTCCTATTGTCTTACAATCATAAGACTTAAAACGTTGACCTATACATACGAACAAAACAGGAGGATACTTTGTTTTGTTTTATCTCAGAAAGAACATACTAAGTTCTATATGTACTATATGTATAAAAAAAAAATTTCTAAACTCTAAAAATATATCCATGTAATTATGACATACGTAAACCAGATTACGTCTGCCTTGTATTGCAAAATAAACACAATATGTGTAGAATGTGTAAAGAATTTAGACAGATAGATGACCAACAGGGTGCAACCGAATATTATATCTAATTTACTGATCAAAGGATTATAGATTCATCAATCATGACGTACATAAATAAAAAACAATAAACAGAACGCATTTTGTTATTTGTTTGTAAGTTTGAATGCGTATTTCATAGTTTGGTGTGCGGTATAGGTTTCAATCGTTGTTGAAGCCGTACGAACGGTGACCTATAGTTAAATATAATTAATTTTGTCTCTGATGGATAAGTGTTTCATTGGCAATCATACAACATTTCCTAATTTTATGTTTGGGTAATGACTTCAAGCTGAAGATGATCGATCTATTGATATTTGGATTATGCGATTTAAATGTGGTGTTCAATGAATCTCTTAGGTCAACATCATAATCAAAGCTCGTAATTCAAGGTTTCAGTAAACTCAGTATGGAATCAATAGAAAAACTAGAGGCTGCATATTCCAAATAGACTATTTTTATTTTTATTTTAGTAACAATCATCATTAATGTGGGAGGTGACTGAATATTTCGGCCACTATGGCATATTAGTAGATCAGATTCTGCCGATCGGTTTTGCTGTTTAAAGTTTCTATCTATCTATTATAGTTTTCAAGATGAAAGGCGAAAATACAAAACATTGGAAAAAATCGTCAATAAAGGACAATAACTTTAACGCAGAGTCTACTAACTATTTTGATTAATATAACTTATTTGTAGATCTTGTCCTGCTTATCATTTTTGCGATACAAAACGTTTCCATCTATATATACAGTTTTCAAGATAATACGCATGATTGTAAAAATTGGAAAAATTGTCATTAAAGGGCAATAGCTTCAATAAGGTGTCGACTGACGATTTCGATCATTTGACTTATATATAGATGCTGTCGTTTTCATCATTTTTTTTGTCTATTTGTTACAGTTTTCAAGATAATGGGCAAAAATTTAAAACAAAATTGGTAAAAATCATCGTCTAAAGGTAATAATATAACTTCTATAAGAAGTCGTCTGACAGTTTTGATGTCAATAGACAGAATGTAGATCTTATCATTCTGAACATTTGTGTCACTGTCAGATTTTCTCTATTTATAGCGGTTTAAAATAATACACAACAATTGCATTTTACCCCTCTGTTCTATTTAGCTATGTTGGCCATGTGTGTTGACAGGCAGGGTCATCAGCCAAGTTTTTAAACTAGATACCCCATTATGTGATTGTGGCCAAGTTTGGTTAAATTTGGCCCAGAAGTTTCAGAGGCGAAAATTTTTGTAAAAGTTAAAGAGCGACAGACAACAACAATGGACGACGAACACCAATGCAATTTATATATAAAAATAAATAAATTTGTATTAATATATGTACATTGGAACTCACAAATCGTATGTCTGATAGTTTAATCCTTTAATTTATAAAATTGGCACTATAATTATCATCAAAATAATTATTTTTTCATTTACCTAACTCTATTTGCGTGCTTTATGCAACTTTATTAAAAAATATGAGCACTTATTTTTTTAATCTTATTTCATTCATTCATTCCATCAAATTTCCAAATTCAATCTGTTACTTGTCTACAAAAAAAAACATCTTTTGTTTCATTTTTGCAAACACCATCGAAGTTATTGTTTTGAAGATTTGTCTTTTATAATCTCTCAGGAACAGAGCAAATATGAATCATGAGTTGTGCATGCACATGAGCGGATGTGAATTAAGAAATAAGTACTTTATGAAAAACTCATTTCCCTAGATAGTAGTACACACTTGTATTTCACCCTTAGACTGCCATAAAAGCCAGGAGCATTATTCGTCTATTAAAAATAAATAAAAGACTAAAAATTATACTTGCGTTTCTATTGCATACAGGTAAAAGAAAGATGTGTTGTTGTTTTTTTAAGTAATTGCAGATGATGTTAAGTACGGATATAGAACCATTCTAAATCGTGTTCAAACATAATTTAATTTGGTGGGTTTTTACTACATTAGGTAGGTGAACATTTTCATTCAGAGCTTTGTCAAATCTTCAAAAGTTGATGATCCTTGAAATCACAAGTCGCTTTCTTGTAAAATCGCAAACTTGCAATAGGGTCATATGTTTGCATTTCTTAGATTGAATAAAGAGTCCGAAAAGGCTACAGAGTGAGAGAGAAGGGAGGTGGGTGGTGCACGACCTTTCCTTCGCAATCTAATATTGAAACATTTTTCATTACAAAATAATTACTATATAAACTTTTTTGGAAATATCGAATACGCAACCAAATCTCTAATTCATCCGTGTTTGAATAAATTTTGTTATTGACAGGTTTCTAACGATTGTAATAATCAATTAATTTTCCCATAGGCGACAATGATAGCCTTGTTCGAGATACAGATTTAGAAAGTTGATTTTTCTTAACGAAACCTTGCTAGAATTAAAGACAAATTATTCGGACAGTATTTTTTGGTCCAAAAAATATAGGTTCCCGTTGCTTTTCTTAACGAAATTTGTAATTTTCTCCTATGCCTATCTATTTTGCACTTAAAAACACGTGTCTTATCCTAGCGTTGAAAAGACATCTCAGTTCCGTTAGGGCTAAGGAAAATAATTTATTTAGCCTTTGGTATAATGCAGAGTGCACGAAGTCTCTAATAATAAAAACAAACGGGCGCACATATCGACCAATCAGGATTAGCCATACTCTTAATTCTGAATACCATGTTATCTTCATAAAATGGCTGCGCCCATAAAATCTAATAGTTTATTGTAACCTATATGCAGTTGATTAAACATCAGTTTAATGTAGGCGTGGCAATCCGTCACCTTTATCAAATCAGCTGTCCTATTAGACAAACCTGTGTGCGATGATGCTTGAACACTGATAATTTGAAAATCAAAGTTATTGTGTTGCCACTGTCAATAGTAACCAGAATTTATATTAAACTGCCAAAAAATGCATTAACCCTCTTTGAAATAGATTATAGAAATTTGAACACGTTTAACAACAAATGAAACCTGTTGATCTCAGAAAAACTTATATTGCAATAATGTGTACGACTTTTATCCTTGATTTATGCGATCGTATATCTATCTGTCTTTCTAAAATACTGTGTCAATGACAATAAGTCGCTTTCATATACGTAAACACTCTATGAATAAAAGGAGATGCAATAGATACGCAAATCAACAACACAAATAATCAAACGCCGTCAACATAAGATTGTCTACAAAATATGTCAATCTTTAGATGATTTCGACTGAATACCAGTTGCGAACTTTTACCAGGACTTTTTCAATTTTAAATACACACTATTATTATCAAAGTTATCACATACGACATACCCTGGTTATTTTCTTACGTGTTGACAGATTATAAGCACACATACCTCGACCGTGTGGGCATTGTTCAAACAATACGACCGTGACATAAATAATTCTATGTAATTCATATGATGCGTCGTATGTCACAAATAATAGAGGTAAAAAAGAGTAAAATACTGATTTTCACAAAGTTAATTTTCTTGACCATGGGCAATAATAATTCGAACACTTAATTCAACCAAACTTTGACTCATAAAGGTGCTTGTAACATTGATTGATTGGTGACTGTTTTACACCGCATCAGCAGAAAAGGGTTATATCGTAACGAGCTTGACATGTAACTTAAAAGACAAAAGAATAGAAACAAAAATGATAAAGCTAATGAATATATCTATAGCTATTGTTTTATTTTTGTTATGATTGTTAAAGATGTTACACATTCATAACAAAGCAAATTCATTATGATGCATATTTCATCATATTTACATGACGAAAGAAGTAAAAATATCTCCGTGAACATAAAGCTCCTCTATTGTCTATCTAAACAATGAGTCGTAAAATAAAAACATCTCCTCAGAACGGCTACTTATATAATTACACTTATATGAAACAAACATTAAAAGGTCATATTTTTTGGGGGAAATCGGGGTCAAAATGTACTCGTTTCTACATGAAGCAATCCAAGGAACTCATCTTTTTTGTATTGTATTCTGTCTCTCTAGAAAGCATACAATTCAGTAACACACTTAACATGTTTCTTTACATCTCATTATAACAGTTATTATAAAACATTTTGATACAAAAAAGAACAAATTTAACTGCATTAGTTAGTTTATCACGCCTGCAGGATTTGCTGCTGAAAGAGGTAAGAACTTTCCCGTGTTTAGTGTTGTTACAATTTTTCATCTACATATAGTCGTTACTTAATTATTTTCATTTTAATATAAGAAATTTAACTTCATAATCATAAGTTTCCTTACCTATCACATTATCCAATAGACCGGATATTACAGCAACGTAAATCACTGCTGAAAATGGAACATGCATGCCTTGATTATATTCTGGTTGTTATTTTACTAAAAGTGGGTTATACTTTTGTCTCTACTAATCATGACGATGTGGCTAATTTTATACCTCAAAATTAGCTAGACACGTAAAAGTTGCCATTTCATTAGTCCTCATATCAGCCAATAAGATATTCATGTGGGTTAAGTAACAAGTACTTTAACAAAAACGTATTAAAACAGGCAACAGATGGTGTCTTAGTAAATAACATATTCCGTTTAAGTGAAAACGATTGCTAGCAATGCAACTGAAAAAAGTGTTTATAGATTTAAAATTAGAAATATGAAAGAAAGACAATATAATTGTTTGAAAAATCATCTTAACACATGTTCTGTGATTATAATAATATTACAATTGCCAATACTCACAAGCATTTTACCGGTCGTTTCCAGTAATAATTGTATCAATGGGACCGCACAAAAACTGTAACAAGGGGCTATGTATAGCTACATGTCGTGGTTTCATCGAACAAAGTTAGTCAAAATAAAGAGTACATCGATACGGTTGCTGGCTTTGTAGAATGTAAGACACCAAAATGTAATTTTTTTTATTACTTTTCTTGTAAGCAAAACAAACCTTTATAACTTCATCATCCAGATGATGCTGGTTCATCATGCAATTATAGACTATTTTTTATTCTTTAACAGGTTTAATAGAGATATGGTTATTCTGCTTCAATATCATCAAAGGACATTTCCCAACGAATTAGATGTAAATGGATAAACGTCCTCGAGTAAAAGGGCCGTACATAATCTGTGTATCACTTAGTATATGAAGATGGCTTATGACGACACCGTGTTTTCAGTCTATTCGAACGACATCAATCATTCTCAGTCGAGTGGCTTGAGATTGAGAATTATCGCAAATAATTTTGATAGGACAGTTGCCAACACATTTAGCAATGCCATGTCATTGTTAATCGATTGCCAGATTATGATGTGAACTACTCACTATTTCAATATTAAATGTAAAAAGCTTTACTCCGATCATTTTTTTTTTTATTGTAATTTATAAAAAAAGAAATGTTTGATCCAAACTACACCAAAGAACAAAATACTTTATTAGATATTATAATGAACCAAACAAAGTGAGAAATGACGAGCAAAATGCTTTATACGCTGATATTTTAAATGACAGTTGTGACGAGTGCCTCATCTTGAACAGGGTCTTTACCCTTCTAGAGCACCTGGGATTACCCTCGGATTTGTATGGATTCATGCTGTTCGGTCATTAGTATATTATGTTATGTTTTGTAGACTGTTGTCTGTCATGTTGTCCTTTGTCATTTTCTTTTTGTCATGGCGTTTTCAGTTTATATTTGGTTTATCAGATTGAGAATTCCGTTTGTGTCTTATGCCTTTCGTTCACCCTATTATTTTAAAAGTGTAAAACACTTATCAAAGATTCCATGCTTATAATACATTTTGTACACCAGACATGGATTCGTTTACAAAACACTCAACAGTTACGCTCGAATAAAAAGGTTAAAAGGCCATGTTCAATGAGCAGGAATCTTTACTCAGCATGTTCTTATTTATTACGAAATTATCAATCTAAATATGTCGAGAACATACAAACATAACCGCGACGAAGGAATAAGGATGACAAGCCAATCTTAAATGACTGCAGAGAACGCTAAAAACTGGTCAACACGACCTACAACCAATCCCCTCTCCCCTGCCCCTATAAAAGGTCCATTGCATCATGATGATTGGTAAATTGTAACTTAATACAACACTATATCTTACGTACCTATCTATAAGTACATGAACAATTGTACTCTACAAATGTGTTATTATAATAATTAAGAGAATTCGTAATGTACAGTTGTATGCATATATTATAAAAAACAACTTACATGGTACAGCTGTATGCATATATTATTCAAATGAAAATAACTTATGTAAATTACACTTTATTATGTTAATTACATGTTTTATATCGTTAGTAGACTTATGATTATTAACTTTAACATGTTTAAGTAGAAATTCACTCAGACACCATGTTAAGATATATATCCGATCCGAAATGGAACTGTTACTTACATTTCAAGACACGTTAAATATATTTGTACTAATTCTTAAAGTAAGTCTTCTAGATACTTTATTTTCGACTCGTTGCAAATAAATTGAGTTCGATATTTTCTATAGCTATAGACACATATCTATTTTTCAAGAATATCTGCTTACCTGTAAATGTCTTATGGTAACAAAATCTCATTTGGACTACTTACTACCGATGCTTGACACCTATCATCGAACCTGAAATATGCAAATTACCCTTTCTAAGACAATAGACCGTAATTCTCTAGTAAACCTAGCTTTTGCAGCATCTTCAATCCCTTCCCTGCTTTATACATCACGCCATACACATGAACTTTGATTCACATTCTGAGTAATTAGCTGTTTTAGAATGTAATGCATTCTGAGTATCAATTTCAAAAGCGTACACCAGAACACCGTAATTGGCTAACAACGTCCCAAGCAATTTGAATACAACCGATGACATGACTATGATTTCATTTGTTTTGGTACGAACAATGAAATTACCCATTATATTCTGAAACTGCTAATTTTAAACAGTATGTCCAGCAACAGTCGGGTTAAAGTTGCTTCAGTGTCTATCCTCAATTTATGTAATGTTTTTAAAAATTAAATGCAAATCTGGCTAAGAATCAGGCAGTGGTGAAATCATGACAAACAAAAACTCGCTCAAGTTTACAATAATTTAAGTTCAAAATGTATAATAATGCTGGTATTTGAAGATATTATTTGGTTGATATGCACTAGAAATTACCATTAAATGGGAGCTAACACGGTAATTTGCTGTTATTCTGACCAAACGGTATCTACAGATTTCTCAAATTACCAGACACCCAGAAACGAAAGACCTACTATTTCTAACTCATAACGAGGGTAACTTCAAAATAAGTTTATGTTTAAATTTGCTAACTTAGTTGTTTGTTTCAATATATGGTGCCAGTTTGTTGAATGTTATGGTGTTTGAATGTTATGCAACAACATTAACATTCTTTTCTTAAATACTTTAAGATAGACAGTTTACATAAATTGAGAGCCCCTTAAGTGTCGGATTACTAAAAGTTATGTCTATAACAACAAAAATTGTCACAATATTTCTGTTTAACATACTTGTACTGGCTGTAATAATGCAATACTCTTTATACCTCAAGATGTATTGTTTGAGACAGAAAGGAAAGATTTTAAGTTTCAAATTGTTAAAAAAAAATTCTTCATTCATATAAGGTGCCAATATTTTCCCTTTTCCTTGATTTTTATGCACCAACATTAATATTTTGTTCTTTTATTACCTCAGGATGGATAGTTTACACAAAATAAGAGCTCTATAAGTTTACGATTACTAATACTTATGTCGATAACAATAAAAAGTGCCAATATTTTTTGTTTTTTTATGATATTCCTATACTGGCCTAATAATTGAGCACTTTGTATACTGCAGAATGGATTGTTTGACACAGAAAGCGAAGCATTTTAGTTTAAAATTGTAAAAATAATTGTCGACATCAATCATGTCAATATAAGGTCCACATATCAAATATTTTCCTTTTTGATAGAATATTTTGTAACAGCATTACAAATCTATTCTTTTGGTACCTCAGGATGGATAGTTTTACAAAAATGGAGAAATTTTTAAGTCTACCGTTATTGAAAATTATGTCGACAGCAATAAAAAGTGCCAATATTTCTCTTTTTTGTTATAAAAATCATGTACTGATTGATAAATTAGTTCTTTTATACGCAATGATGGATGTTGGACATGGAATGGAATGAATTTCGGTTTAAATTGCAAATTTGTTGTCTGTATCAGTATGAGGGACCAATATTTTCCATTTGTTTGAATATTTTGCAACAGCATGACAATTCTCATCTTTTTGGGTACCTCGGGAGCGACAGTTTTACATAAAGTGAGATCTCTTTAAGTCTACGGTTTCTAATAAATATGGATATTACAATAAAAGTGCAAATACGATTTTTTTTATAATATTTTTGTACTGACCTTATAATTGAGTATTATTTATACTTCAAGATGGATGAGTTGACACAGAATGGAAAGAATTTTAGTTTCAATTGCTACATTTGTTGTCTACATTCATAAAAAGGTGCTAATATTTTCCCTTTCACTTAATTATTATGTAACGGCATTAGCATTGTGTTTTTTTGGTACCTCAGGATGGACAGTTGTGAACAAATTAAGAGATCTAGAAGTTTATGATAAGTAAAACATATGTCGACAGCGATAAAAGGTGCCAATATTTCTTTCTTTATATATATAAAATTCTTGAACTAGTCAGATAATTGGGTACTTTTTGTACCTAAAGATGTATTGTTTGACATTAAAGAGAAAGAATTTTAGTTTACAAATTGCTATACTTGTGGTATTTATATATATAAGGTGCCAGTATTTTCCCCTTTTCTTGGTTTTTCTGTACCGGCATCAACATTTTTTTTCACAAAAAAAAACAAGGATTTTAAGATGTCGGCATCAATATACAGTCCCAATATTTTCATTTTTGATAGAATATTATGTAACATCATTAAAACTTTGTTCTTTTGGTACCTCCGGTTGTAAAGTATATACAAATTTAGAGTTCTTTAAGTCTAAAGTTACGACATGTTATGTCGACTACAATAACATGTGCCAATATTTCTTCTTTTTTTTCCTAATATTTGGGCATGGCCTGATAATTTCTTTTCTTTTATATCTCTGTGTGGATTGCTTGACATTACCATGAAGACGGGAAGGATTTTAGGTTAAAAATTGCTTAATATGTTGTCGGCATCAATATATAAGGTGCCAATATTTTTTCTTTTGCTAGAATACTGTGTAACAGCATACAAAAACTTAGGATCGATAGTTTTACACAAATTGAGACTTCTATAGGTCTACTATTACTACATGTACTAATACTTATCTTGACATAAAATGTGCAAATATGTCTTCTTTTTCTATAATATTTGTTTACTGATATTGAGTATTTAATATTTATTAGGAACATTTGAATAAACCATTGAACAGATAACGCGGAAATTGAGGCAATCAAATGGCGGGGGGGGGGGGGGGGGGGAGGGTGACCCAAATAACCTTGAAGTGGACATATTATGCTCATTATTTTTTTGTTCGGGGAGGGGATTGGGGATTGATATTTCCAAAAGTCATTCCTGGTGGGTGAAAACAGGGTCTCTGACTCTAACTTTTTTCGCCCACATTCGTGAATTAAAAGTAGGTAACACGAAATAGATTTTGCAAATGAATTATTTCTTGTACAAAACAATTAATTATTAATTGATTAACAAATTCAATATGTGAAAACGAACAAAAATCTGCCGAACAGTGTCAACATTGCTGTTTTCATCCTCTGTAGAAAATCACAATTTTAAATAATTATTTAATTGTATGACTTATATGCTTTAACGACCTTGAAGTATACATACTATGCTCATTGTTATTTTTTTTGTTCGGGGTTAAGGGGGAGGGGGAGGGGGTTATACTTCCAGAAGGTCATTCCTGTGGGTGATTACAGGGTCTATGACTTTAACTTTTTCGCTCAAGAACGTGAATTAAACATATGTACA